ACCCTGCCCTCCCGCTTTGGGTCCTGCTGGTGCTGGGTCTTTTTCCCCTGGCTACTTCCTTAAACAGCGCCCACCCTAGCCCTGGGGTGCAAGGCCTGCCCCCCTAGCCACGGCTCTGCAGGCCTCCCGCCTCTCGGGCTGTGGCTGCAGGCCATTAGAAACATCTGTGTGGCTGCCTCCCTGCCACATGTGGCCATATTTGCCCCAAACCAGGCCCCCCCATGCCCATCCTGGGTACCTGTTCCATCCAGCTGAGCCAGGCTCAGCCTCCCTCCCTCCACCACCTGCCAGAACTCAGTCAGGCCTTGCTATTCATGCCTCCTGGTTTCCATGGTTACCGGGTCCCTGGAGGTCTGGGAGGTGTGAGGAGGCGCAGATTGCCCAGGCTGGTCGTCAGCCTCCCCACAGACCCCCGCTGTGGCTTCCCACCAGGATCGGGCTCAGAGGGAGGAGGCGGGGAGAGTGCCAGCGTGATGCCCTGCGCTCCTGGGAGGGCAGACTCCCATTCGGCTGCGCTAACGCCTAAACACAGGCCACTCGGGAAGGGAGTGACTGCCTTGGGCAGGGCAGCCCCTCGCTTTTCCTCCAAAGCCTCTGTGAGCCCAGGACGGGCATGGTGCCGTGTCCAGGGCGCGGCCTGCACAGCGCTGCTGACGGGGCGGCCTGACCGCAGTAACTGACGGGCAGAGTGGAAGCTGCACCTCCAATCAGGTGAAAACCAGATCCCTCCCACCCCGTGTCCTCAGCTTTTACGCCTGGACTAGGTCCCTGGCTCCTTTTAGAACGCCTTTCCTTGTGGGCCGGCAGCAATCTTAGCATCTTCCATCGACCCAGGAGGCCCCTTCCGGCTGCTCTTCGGAATCACTGGGAAGATGTATGAAGACTGATTGCTGCCCAGGCCGGTGTGGCTCAGTAGGTTGGGTGTTGTCATCCTGTACACCAAAGGGGGGTTACAGATTTGATCCCCAGTTGGGACACATGCCCGGGTTCTGGGCACAATCCCCAGTTGGGGTGCATGTGGGAGGCAGCCAGTAGATGTTTCTCTCTCTCCTCACCCTTCCTCAATAAAAACATGTCTAAATAAATAAGTAAATAAATAAATGTTGAATCCAGGGCCCACCCAGACTAAGGAGCCAGACTCTGGGCTGGGGTCCAGCTTCCACCCCCAATATTCACGTGACCCCACTGTGTATGGAGAGCAGGGCCCTACAGAAATGTGGGGACTCCATGAGCCCTCAGCACTCCTTCACCCCGTTGTCCCTCAAGTCCCACGGAGATGGGGTCCCGGGCAGGGTGGGTTTGTTGGCAGTGAGATTTCCCTTAGCCTCGTGCAGATGATGGGTAAGCTCTGTGGGAGATCATCTTCATTGAGGAGATAGATGGTTGACAGTTAACTAGGACCAATGCACATGCTAGGGTTTGCGGATAGAAAGTGCATTCCATCCATGTGGCCACCACTTCTGCTACACTGAAGGCAAGTTCAGGTCACTGCGCGGCCGGATTCATTCCAATTGGGCACCTGGCAGGAAGGGCGAGGGGCTAAGCCCGGGGGGTCTCTGGGCCGGCGCTGGGGGCCTGAGGATGCACAGGCGGACCCGCGGCGGAGCTCACCGCTGGGACTCCTGGCCCACGTTGGAATGTCTGCCAAGGCCGGGCGGGCATCGTGGGAGGCTGCCTGTGGGTGGCTCTCGGAGAAAGTGGGATCAGTAAGCCCAGGCCAGGGACTCCTTAGCAGCTGCACTGGTGTCTGTAACACATCAGAACCAACTCGCACCCACAGCCATGGCGCTGGGCGACAAGTAAAACCAAATCTGTTCTAATTACCCCAGCCCCGGAACACAAGCTGCTTTCAATACAACCCCAGGCCGCGCAGAAACCTTGTACCTGGACCTGTCCTCAGTCCCAGTGCCCTGCTCCTCACGTCTCCCGGCGATGGCGCTGCTGCTTCCTGCCTCGCCCTCCCTCTCCACGGGGACGTGGCATGTGGTGTGGCCTCGGTCGTGCTGCTGGCCACGGACGCCGTGGGTGGGAGGAGGCTATTGACTGGTCGCGCGTGAGCGGAGCAGCCTGCCGGGGTTTGCAGGTGTGAACGCGTTCGTTCCTCCGGCCGTCTGTGGATTGGGAACCTCGTCCCACTTGAGGGAGGAACTGCAGTGAGCCCCCACGTTCCAGGGCCCAGCAAGGACGTGTGGCCTGTGCCCGAGGTGGGCTGCGCAGGACCCTCGAAGGAGGGATGGTTGTTGGTGGACAGACACCCGCTTCTCCGCCTTCCGACGGCTCCAAGGCACGCAGGCGGTGCCTCGCCTGTGCCCTGGGGTCACCTCCAGGCAAACTACTTGTACCCGGGTCCTCAGTCCATGGTCTGTTTGGGGGGGAAAATCCAAACTAAAGCTACTCTGCCTTCAGAGCGTCCGACCCAGCCCTGGCGTTGGCACGGGCCTGGTGTCCAGGTGCCTGTCGGCAGAGTCGGCCGCAGGTGGGAACAGGTGCTCAGGGTTGGGACTCCCGCTGGCTCACAGCCTCAGCGCCTGCATCTCCTGGCAGAGTCGTCGGTGCGGATGGGAAAGGGGGGGCCCGTGGGGGCCGGTGTGGAGAGAACCAGTATTTCTCAGCCCTCGTGCCTTCGGTCGTGCGGAAGCAGCACTTTCCCTCTGCATTTCCGGCCCGAAGAGCCGTCTCTGAGGGTCTCCGGCTCTTCCTTTCTGTCTGGCGTGTCTTCTCGGGAGACAGATCTGTAAACGCTCCCACGAGGCACAAGCAGCCCGGCCCGCTGCCGGCAGCGGCTCTGGTTTGACACGGAAAGGAGTTTGCCGCGTCCCCTGGAGTGGGTTTTGGAGGTTGGGGGTCGCCACTGTCTCCTTTCTGCTGGCTGCGTGCTGGGGCCGGAAACCAGGCGGCCTGCAGGTGCTGCAGAGCCAAGCCCTGGTCTGTGGTCTCCCGGGACTTCTACGCGCCCCAGCCCTGGGTCCACCCGAGACCCTGGAGCAGGGCGTGGGGCAGACAGGCTTTCTGGTGGCCTTTCCAAACGTGGCCATAACACGGGGCCGAGTGAGGGCTGGTCTGCTCTCCCGCCGGCTCGCACCCCTCCCGCCCCCATGCCCTCACCCTCCTGGCCGGCTGCTGTGCAGGTGCGGCTCG